AAATAGTATTAGTTACTTTATATGAAAAATGACATTAAAATCTCAAAATAATAATTTTATGATAGTTAGGTCCTGACAAAATTTACTAAAACATTAGTTATAAATATTAATTCAAATAGTCATAAATTTAGGAGTTCTAACTATAAATAAGATATTTAAATTTAAAATATAACTCTCAGTTTATAGTTAAAATTCTTATTTGCAACTGTTTGAGTTGAATAAATATTTGTAACTTATTTTTTTAATAAATTCTGTCGAAGACTTGATTGTTAAATTTTTCAAGTTTTAAGACTTTATTATTATTTTTCATGCTTTATATAATTTTCTTTTTGGAAGTATTTAATATTTTTTTAAGAAATGCCTTTAATTTCTTGCATGTGTTTTTGAGCCATAAATTATTTTTTAAGAATTACTAGATAGCCAATACTATCAAGCGTTGCAAAATAAATCATCAATTATCAAAATTAGTGCATATATAGCCTACTGTCTATTTCTCATTAATGTTTGTTTATTTTTAATGGTGGAGCTCGTATTCATTATCTTCCTTCATCTCTCCATTGCCCGAAACTTCCTCATCTCTCCATTGCCCGGAACTTCCTCATCTCTTTCTCCCTCCCTCTCTCTTTTTTGACACGATACCTGAACCCTCCCATTACTCCACACCTAAATCCTCCCTTCATCTCTTCACTACCAATGGTTCAGGCATTTGATCTTAGGCTACTAATTTTCCCTTCATCTCCCTTGCTTTAATTATTTGATATATAGTCAACAAGTTTCATAGTTGTATGTTGTACCTTAGTTGAAACTGATACTTTATTTAACCCTTATTGTCACATGATTATGCATCTCTTGATTTCCATAGTATTATATATAGGTCAAAACTTAAAGAGAAAGATGGGTTGGAAACCATAAAGGTTCACCTTGTCTCTTGATTTCCATGCTCTGTTTCACAATGATCTTGAAGCCATAAAGATTCACCTTATGCTTAGGAAGAACAACATCATCATTCGATATGAAATGAATACAAGAAACCCTCTCTTTAAAGTTCAAGAGCTTCTCAATCTCTCTAACAAGAAGCCTGAACATACAATGAAGGATCTAATCACTTTATTCAGAAAGCTCTTCACGACCCTACCTTGAATCCTCTAGGTCACACGATGAGCATGTTTTCTTTCTAAAATAGGCTCCAACACTGTAGTTGTGATAAAGCTACCAATCTCTAATTTGGGTGAGTTCGTTTGCAGCTTAATCTCATTGTGGGGACTAAGACTTATGCTAGCATTATTAGCAATGGAGCTTCAACAGTTGCCATTATTGTTGTTGTTCTTGAATGAGCGAGCTTGATGAGTCATCAAACCAGAAAAAGTGTGGACTATTGACTTGCTGAGAGTAAGAGTGCCACTGTTGGTGTTGTGATGTTGACTATGACCCATGTCCTCCATTTGTGTTGTGTATATGTGTGAGTCTATTGCAAGTGATTGGATTCAAAAGAGAGCACTTTTAAAGCAGGAAAGCTTATAGTCCAATATCTCTCTCTTCCTCTTCCTCTTTTGTCGAAATCAATGCGATTGAGGCTCACAATCATAGTTCTTGTTGTTTAAAGATAAGGTTAGAGAAAGATGATGAAATTTGAGAAGAGAGAGAGTGAAAATAAACTTCTGTTTATGAAAAATAAATGGTAGATTCTAGATCTATCATTTTTTATAGTTAATAATTTTTTATATCATCTCATAGTATAGGCTATCCAGTAACTTTTAAAAATAGTTTGTGATTAAATTTATATCTTTACCCTCAATGTGTGTGTGTGTGTGTTGTGTGTGTGTAAAGTAGAATCACAAGCTTATCCTTATAATGATACATGTTCATTTTCTTATTGCTGCAATTTCATGAAGCCACGTAGAATTTGGGTTTTGAAAATGAATTAGAATATTTTAATTACAAGTTACTTTTGAAGCGGGAAAGTGTCGTATATTCAATAAAAAAATTGCCCAAGTTATTACTATTATCTTTGATGTTTAATTATTTCTCAGTCCTATCTCCCATTATTTTCATTTTTATAATTGTAACTTCCATGATCTTAACTATCTTCTCTTCTTTTTCATTTACTCTCAATTTTCTTCTCCCACTTTCTTCTTGCTCTCTCAACTATACTGTAGGTACATACATTCTTGACTTTTCAATTACTTTACTTTTCGTTGCTTCAACTTTTTGAATATCGATGGCCATCATCTTCAGTGTGACTTATAATTAATTTCCACATTTTACCTACTTCCCCAAGGACTTCTTCATTTTTTAAATAATGTTTGCCTATTTCCTCAAGTAGCTTCTTCTTCTTCTTCTAGTTCCTCCCTCTTTAAACCATCATCACATGTAAAGGGGCTTGCATGTCTTCTCACACTTCTAGTTCCTCCCTCTTTAAACCATCATCACATGTAGAGGGGCTTGCATGTCTTCTCGCAAATATGATAACTTTTGGAAGCCAAAAAATAGGTTTCCTAAAGTGTATATTTTCAATTTTTAAACATTCTAAAAGCATAGGGCGTTAAGAGGAGTTCATTTTTTCTGAACTTAGAAATCAGGATGCATATGGAATGAAGAGTAGTTCATTTTTTTTTTGAAACTTAGAAATAGGTAAGTATACTGCATAGTCTCCATTTGATTACGCTATCATAAGATCCATTGTATTAATCAGCATCTTCAACTTTTCACACCTATGTATGGTCTTGGCCAACATACTAATTATGGTCCTGGCCGCATATGAGGAAATTAACTTACCTTAATTTCAGTGAATTATTTTGTATTCATCTGAACAAAAATAGGGTGAGATATAGTTTAATTGGTAAGAAAGTTGTATTGATTTAGTTAAAGATATCAAGTTTAAATCATGAGAATGTAACCATGTTGACAATTAAGCTTCTACATTTCTTACTAGTATAATTCACATTAGTTTGTGTCCCTAATAAATCTGCTCAACTTAATGGAGCAAATCTAAGATATCAATACTTTTCTAAAAATAAACTTCTCCCACCTTAGTATACATAAGAGAGTAGATTGCCATGGATATGGAATTTTGCCCCTCCAAAAAAAAAAAAAACAAAGCACTCCATACCCCACACACATGCATATACATACATAAATACATTTATGAATATACATCTTATTTTGTTAGTATATTAAATAGATACTCTTTTATTTAGAATATAAGATATTTTTTAGAAGCCTTACTCGATCCAAAATATAGGACATTAAGTAGTTTTAATAATAATTTTTTCAACTATGCCCTTATTTCAATTATTATTTATTTGGGCTAAAGTATATATTTGGTCTTTTAACCTTACATAATATTTTATTTTAGTCCAGTAATTTTATAAAAGGTATTTTTAGTCACTTAACCTTAACATTATTAGTTTTATCTCAACAAATTTTTAAATCAAACTTTTAAATATTGATAAAACATTCTCAAATGTTGACATATAAAATTTAATTTTTTTAAAATAACAATAATTGACATAAAAAATAATCATTTGACACTACCCATATTAGAGTTAAAAAGGCTAAAAAGATACTTTATAAAATTAAAGAAGTGAATTAAACCTTATATAAAGTTAGAGAGCTAAAAGTATATTTTAACGTATTTATTTTTTAAAAATAATATAGTAAAATTTTAATTGTTATTATTGAGGTATTTATATAAGACATTTAATAAGGATATAATTAAAAAGATATACAGATTTTTAAGCTATTGTCTTCAACTAACTTTTTTTATAAACTATAAAATAGTCATCAATATCCTAAACTATAAATCGAAAGTAGGGACTATAGAATAAGTTTTTTTAAATCTTCAATAAATTTATTTTTCATTATTTAAATTATATATATTATTGTTCAATATTTAAATACATGATTTTATTATAAATTTTTTCATAATTATATATAATTATCTTATGATTTTTCTGGTTAATGAGATTATCTTTAAAAAAATTTCAAAAAATATAAATCAACAAACATTATTTTTCCTCTATTTACATGCTAGTTTTTCCCCCGGTTGATTTGTTTATATTAAATATTCAATTGTGTAAAATAAAATTTAGATTTTTATCTGTGGATTTTTTTTTAAAATTAATGTCATTGCATGTTAATGCAAAAGATGACAGTAAAGCCTTTGGGTATGCAGAATGAATTCAAAATGTAGTGGGCATTAGAGGCAAATTTCTTGTACCTGGGCTCTTAGGTGCGATTTTCTCTCAGAGAAAAGTTTCATGTCCTGTCGTGTCGATGGAGAGAGAGGGAAAAAAAAAAGGGGGAGTCACAGAACAAGTGAAGCCAAAACAGAAGGATAAGTGGACGCACCAAATATTCCAAAGCCGAATGACCTTTGCTTTTTCTTTACTTCATTCCTCGTCCACATCTCTGAAGCTAGAAGTTAGTGTTCATAGTTGAACCGAATAGTAGTAACAGACATCAGAATCCTCCGTATTCTCCTTTGCTTTTTCTTTTTACAAATTCTAGCCAACCCATCTGCATTTTGTTTCTTTTCTCTCACAATTCTCGCCCCATCATATAGCCGTTCATACTTTCACGCCTCCAATTGAAATCCTTGGTCTATAAGCCACTCTTCTTTAACATCACTCTCTTTGTGCTATCTCTTCATGTGTGTATACATATATAGTACTAAATAGTAGACACTACAACTATCTTTTGGTTAAAAAAAATAAATAAATTAGTTGGGTGTCAACGACTCACCAAGAGTCAAGCATACTTTTAAATTTAAAGTGTATTTATAAAGGTACTAACAAAATCTCTATATTAGTAGTGAGATTTGAACTTAAGAATCTTGTAAATTATGGATCAAATTCTTATCAAATAAACTAACTTAGCTTATTTATTATGATTTCAACTCTCATGATAATCACTCTTATGTATCAAAATGAGCTTATACAATTGGGTCATGCTTTGAGCTTCATCACTGACTATATGAGCATGATTGGACCTCTCAGCCCAAGCGGCCCAGTAACTGCCCGTTCGTCTTCCAAATGCAGAAGTCTGAGCTGAAGAATCTGGAACATCCAAACTCCGAGTGACTGCCAACTTTTCCAGCTCTCACTTTTTGTAATGCAAACGCTACTTCCACCGGCGGCTCCCGCCGGCATTTTCATGGTGGCGCGGTCGGACTCGGGGGCATCTTTATCCCGTTCAGCTCCTCATTTCCATCGTCTAAGTCTGCGGCGAAACTGCTTTTCCTCCCTGTCTCTCATCCCTCTTAAATCTCTTCAACCTGTAAAATCATCATATTCCTCTTCTTTTCCTTCTTCCTCTGTCGGTACTCTTTATGGACCAGCGAAACTCAGGTTCTCTGCAAAATCATATTTTCAAGGTTCCCCCCCTTCCACTCCGTCCAATGATGAATTGGAAGAAGCAAAACTTGCTCAGGTTTTCTCTCTTTCTCGTCATCATCTTCTCTCTATATTCAACCATTGAATGCGGGTTTGTGAATTCGTTGAGTTTGGCCAATGACCTGACTTCTGCATGATTCTGAATTATACTATGAGTGAATTGATTTGCTTTCAAGGGTTAAATGTTCTTGAAAATGAGGTAAAATTGTTTTTTTTTTTTAAGAAAAAATTTGATCTTCGCATTGGCATTGCTTATCTTATTATATGTGACCGTAGCAGAAGTATGATTTGATTGCTGTAGGTTTCAAAGAGGTTAGAGAAGACAGCGAGGTATTTTAAGCGTTTGGGTAGTTTAGGATTTTGGGGGCAGCTAGTCTGCACAGTGGTGGCTGCTGTCATACTGTCATTTTCCGTTGTTATCACAGGCAAGATTGCATCACCGGCAACGTTTTATGCTACCTCTGGTGGCTTAGTGGCTGCTTTTATTTCTGTGTTTTGGTCATTCGGATACATTCGGCTATCAAGTAAGCTTCGAAGAACTGCCAATAAGCCAACGAAGGTAGTGTTTATATTACTGATATTGAACTCATTTTCTTTGGTACATCTCTCTCGTGAATGAATAACTATGTCAATAGCACTCGATGATGATATAAAATTATTTTAAATCTAAATTTATCGTGGATTATTTTGTAATTGTCATTAAGTGTAATATCTTTGGATTCTGGTTCATTGCCTTCCCACATTTTCTTGCAGCTCTTCACTAGTTCGAGTCTTTAGAATGATTTTTACTTGACAATTGCTTTTCTGTGTTCCAAACATGGACAGCGTTGCTATAATTTTTATCATGGCATTTGCTACATGCTTCTCTCTAAGAGAAAACAAGAAAAAAAGACTAAAGAACTAAGAAAGTGTATTAGCCTTAAGCTTTAGTCCTAATTAATCAGTCAATACCTTCATATACTAACTTCCAATATTTTCGTTGTTATTTAAATTTCCTCTGCCCCAACTTATGCCCAGAAGAATCAGTGCATCCGGTGATTTCAACACTATCAAGGTCTGTCGCTTTTGTAAGATAATCAAGAAGTCACTGGCATTATACTTGACGTGAATTCTGTTTTCTAGACTATAGCTCATGAGATCTTGAAGTTTCAAGTGAAATGGCTCCTCAAGTTAATGCGCACTTACTGTTTGCCCATACGCCATGATATCCAGAATTAATTAGCTGTGATATGTCCAAAAAATTTTTTATATTTTGTGATTGTGATTACGTATTGTTTCAACTTAGAAATTTTCGGCCATGGATGGTGATACTAATTAAGTGGTCCTTCTCTTCTCAGTGAGTTCTGATTGGTTGCTTTCTCTTGCTACTTGAGATTTCAGGCCCCTGCTCGTGCTGATGTTGTGAAAAGCTTGAAAAATGGTATAGTGTTGAACCTTTTGGGAATGGGTGCCGCAATTCTTGGCATGCAAGCCACAGTTGGAGCTTTGGTTGGAAAAGCTCTCACTTCCTCGGCCAATCCTTATTACTCAGGAATGTCTCCTGGATTCAGGCCTGTGCTTGCTCTGGATGTCTTTTTAGTGCAGGTATGGCAGATTTGATTTAATCTCGAGAACCCTTTCTACTTTTGCAGTTTGCATCTAATTATTTGGTGGGATTTATTCTCCAGTCAAGTGCACTAAATTTAAATCCGTTTGTTGAATCTATCAACATGACACAGAAATTTCCTCTCTACTCTCTAAAGTCTATCTCTTTGTTGATGCCTTTTTGGAACTAGTCTTCGAGAAACCTGGGGATCTCTTAAGCATTTAGGCTGATAATTTAATTTGACTACTGTAGTTAATTGTTTGTAATCATTGGTTGATTCACAGGCTTCAGCAAACACTATCCTTTCTCATTTCCTGGGGCTTCTTTTCTCGCTTGAGTTGTTGCGTTCAGTTACACTGCCAACATCAGAAACTGTTCCAATCCCAAAGCTTGCGTGAGGCCAGCGACCCATGTTGTTGTTTGTGTGTGAGATTGGCAGACTTGCCTCATGTTGTGTTTGATGTAATTACTACCAAAATATGTCCTTGTTCTTGGGGTTTGTTTCCTTAATGAATATTTAATTCCGGGGTTGTGAGATACTTCTGTTAGCCGATTCATGGGATGTATTGTGTTTGTAGTCTTTTAGTGAACCCTTTTTGGGAGCCATAATGAGGAGTGCAATTTTGACTGAAGAGCTTTGTATGTTTGCCCCATCATGTGCACGTACGACTATTAAGATGTAAAATACTAAGTGCGACATTGTGAATTGTCATCCATTAGTGGAGCATCGTGGTCGACTTTCTCAACGGCTGGGGGACCAAACCTCAGCAAGTTGTTATAAGCTACTCCCTAAAAAAATTTAAAGCATTTTTAATCTTTTAAAATATAATTATTATTATTTTTTAAAAGTATCCCTATTGATAATGACTTGATGTTTATTATAGGATGTTTAACAGGAATAAATATAAAAAAATAAGGTTAATTTAAAAGTAGATAATTATTTTATTTGAGGGTGAGATTCAATTAAAAATGATTTATATTTTTTAACGGAGGGAGTAGATGTTAAAAATTGCAACTCATTGAACTATTTGAACCTTTAGTTCATAGTTTAATGGTTGGATTAAAATGAAATTACTCATAACTAAATTAATATTTTTTAAATATATGCTAACTTTTTTAAATAAGAAAAAATATAAAAAAATTAATTTCAAATAAAAATAAAAATAATTAAAAATGTAAACTTAGTAAAGATAAAAAGTAAAAGGGTTTTTTTTTTCTTGTTTTTTTCCTTTGAACTATATTCATATGAGCATTGAATATCTTAAACTCCTTATTATAACAATATTGCTTTTAAAGTAATTAAGTTATAGCAACATTGTCCTTTGTTAACTCAAATTTAATCGCGATCTCACGTGGGTGAAAGCCAAAATACCTTTCCAAAGTTTCCAAAAGCAACACTATGAGAGTGATACTAGATGAAGATGATAGCATTCTACACTATGGTAAACACTTCTCTAAGTGAGATGACCACTTGAAAATGATGGCAAGTATTGGAGATTACCATTCAAGGTGACGATCTGAGATTTGAGAAGTGTTTGCACAGTATATAATGCTATTTGCAAATACACGACCAGATCTCTTGTATATATACTCTCATGTTCACTCTTTTCTCACATCTCACTCTCATTTGATCTTCTTAGCACTTATTTGACCACCTCATTCTTAATGGCATCATCTTCTATTCCAACTATTCGAGTTTGCTTTTAAGTTTAACTTCAGATAATGATATGATATTTTTTCATCCCTCTAGTTCATAATTGAGTGGAATATTTATACTTCTGCAATATTTTTTATTCAATATTTTCTTTAATTTTTAGATTTATTTGATTGTTTGCAGTATATTACAAATGATTTCATGGATAGTTTATCTAAACCGCAAGAAAATATTTTTTTTTTAAAGTCAAGAATCAAAGATGGACTACACATATAAAGCAATAACTTGATTGTTTTTATAAGTTTGACAATTGTTAGGATGAGTTCTTTTTTTTTGTCACAACTATACATATACTTTTTAAATGTACTTGACCGTTTTAAATTGTTGGTTCCTAACATTTGATTTCAATTGGATGGTTTAGATCTCATCATGCACGCATCCTTGAGATAAGTAGGGAAACCAATTTCAAAGTTTCATAATGCACACATCACATAGCTTTTAAAGATGCATGTAGCTAATTTGTTTTTAAATAGTTAAAAAATATATTTTGAAACATTGGGTGAAAATATACCAAGTCAGCAAAACTTTGGCTAAACAAGCTTAGCCTATTTGTATAAATAAGTCTAATTATAAGTTTAAGTGTGGGCAAGGGTGGGAATAGGCCAAGCTTCTAACAGGGGGCCTACAACTTAGCCTACTTTAAGCCCAATTTAACCTATTTATTAAATAGGCTCATGTTAGGTTCATGTTTTTAATCAAGCCTACTTAATTAAATAGATCGGGCTTATTTTTTTAAGGTTTAACCTATAAATTCAACAGGCTGGCCCATTTGCACACACATGTATATATATATTAGAGTATTTGTTATGTAATCCGTTGTTTGTTGATGGTTCAAATGTTATAGATGCTAGTGATATACCTTTATGCTATGCTATGCATCTTTTACAAAGATGATTTGACTGCAAACAATGGCAAAATGGTTAAAAAGTTAATAGATAACAAGAGGTGGGTTCCACCGGAATGTCGTATTTGTATTGATGTTCTATTTGCTGCATGTGAGGAGACTATGCTAAGATTGATGGCTACACGAGGGATTGCCTTGTGGTTGAATATCGGAGGGCCAAATTCCATATTGCTTCATGTCTCTCAAGAGGTTTGCATGAGCTTCTAGAGATGTTCTTCCTCTCTTGGTTCAAGGGAGTGTTTTAAAGCAGCAAGTGTAAAAGCAGCATTGACATCAAAAGAGTTGGGCTCTATTGTAGAGCAAATCTTAATTAGGATTATCATCTCCTATAGCAGGTTATCTTAGAGCATCAGATTCTAGCTTTTATGATGTTAAGCTGCAGGATGTCCTTATGAACTTTTCTTTGATTATATTGGTTACTCCTCTTGCTATTGTTTTTTATTTGTTTGATTCTGGTTTGTATGGTTTAATGGATATTACTTGTGGCCTGTTGTTGTGGATCCTTTAGTACTGCTATGGGTGTTTTTGGCTTAGTCCTATGGTGATCTTGGTTGACTTGAAAGTTGATTTTGACTTTCAATGTTTTGTTTTCTTTCTTGCTTTAAGAGAGGTTGTTGGAGCTGCTATTGTCTTAGCAGCCTTGGCATACAAGGGTGTGGGCTCTATACTTGAGCAAGTCTTTGTGTTACCACCCCTTTCAACCTTTCTCGTGGTTTTGCATGATATGACTCATGGGATTGACTATTGCATCTTAGCGTGCTTTTGATTTGCAAGGAGATGGCTTTTACTTTTTATTTCTATTGATTTCCTTTTATTTTGTTGTCTTAAATTTTGTTAAGGGTGGGTTGTAGTTGTTTGTTGGGTATTTGTCCTGTTGTGTGTAATATAAAGTGTTTTTTCTGACCAATACACACGCTGTACATATCAAGAGATCACGAAATCATAAAAGAATAATGTCAGTAACTTTATATGAATTTTAATATATAAAACTTGTTTGCCATTACCTTTGCAACTGAATATAGGGAATGCGGGAACTTCAATTGATGGTTTCATGTAAATTTACCAGTAACAGTCAAACATGCATGAGTTGTGATCCGGAAAGACGTAGGATGTATTAGTAGGGGTAATTTAGTCTCTTTAAATTTATATTTCAGTATTTGATCCTTCTAAATAATTACAATTTTTAAGATCCTTCCCATTAAATATCATTTCATATAGGTCCTTTGCTATAATTTTCCCTAAATACTAATAGTTTAATTGAATCTTTCCTCATAAATAATTAGGAATGGTTTATTTTGCCAGCGGACAGAAATGGTTTACTCTCAAGTGTTGACTATATAAATTATTAGTAAGTGGTAATAGTGTGTAGTAATTACTTCGCTGTTTAAAAAAAATAGTTGAAATTTTAATCTCATAAAAAATATACTACCTCCATCATAATTTACAAGACATTTTGAGAGAGATTTGGCATATCAAAATAGAAGACGTTTTGATACAAATAAAGTTTCATTAATTACTTTTTCTAATATTACTCTTCCCATTGCATTTTCTTTCTCTTTAATATTCTTTCATAGATTAATTATTTAAATGAAGAATATTTAAAAATTTATATTTTGTTTTAAAAAAATAAAATTATAAAGTGTATTTAATGAACTTCATTTATATGTGTAATTTTGTCTAAAAGTATTTTATAAATTGAGATAAGATGTACATTTTTCAATTATATCCTCATTAAATACCATTTATAAGTGCATTGATAACAATAATTGAGGTTCCCATGTATCATTTTTATAAAATAATAATACATGAAGCTAGAATATAATTGAAGAAGTAATTATAAAAATTATTCAATGTCATATATTCTAGACTAAGTAAGACTTTTAAAAATGCTTTGTATTATAATATGGATGAAGTATACTGCTATAATATTATCCTAAACCAATCATTTGTGGTAATAAATACAAAAAGGAAAATAGTGTATAGGTCATGTGGAATAAATTTATTTATAAATAAATCTTACAAAATTTAAAAATCACAACCAAGTCCTTTAAAATCTGAATGTAATTTAGAATTGGGATACAAAGATAATATTATCCTCACTTATAATGCATGATTAATTTAATTATTAGATATATAAAGTTATAATTGTAACAAGTTGAAGTGATAATTATAAAGTATCAATAAAGTAGTTATAAACAAATGGTGTTAAATTTTGTCAGTAATACATGATCAATTTAACTATTAGACATGTGAAATTATAATTTTAAAATATTAAAGTAATAGTTACAAATTACTAATGAGGTGATTGTAAACAATTAGTATTAAATTTTATTAGTAACACATTATTAATTTAACTATTAGATATATAAAGTTATAATTATAAAATGTTGAAATGGTAGTTGTAAATTACATAATTATATACAGTTAATATTAAAATTGTAGTATATGGTCAATTTAACTATTGCATACGTGAAGTTATAGCGGTGAAAAGTTGAAATAATAGTTATAAATTAATGATAAAATAGTTATAAATTACTTTATCAATGTAATGTATTTTTAATGTGGGCATTATTATATTTGCACCTAATTTTAAATTATACTCAAGTCCCAATAAATTTGATTATGGTTTTGGAATTTTAAGAGATTTTCTTTGTAAATAAATCTACCCTATGAAATCTATATGTAATTTTTCCATCACAAAATTGTTAGATAAATATAATAATTCCTTAATAGTAGCTTAGTTAATGGGCTAGTTACAAGGTTGGTTTGGTTTGAAATTAATTGGTAGGATCCTTTAAGGTTTTTTTTTTTTTTGGTTTTTTTTGAGGGGGGGGTCCAACGAGATAACCTTCATTTTGAGGGCCGGGAGGTCCATCAAGGCATTCTTACGAAATGCGTTAGTTATTAATTTGTTAATTAGTTAGCAGTTGCAGGGTAAGTTAGGTAAATTAGTTAATTCATCCTTGTCGTTGAGCTATTTAGATTAGTAGATTAGGCTGTTTAAGAGTTTTATTTTTGATTTGTTTTGAGTTGACAGGTTAAATTAGTTCGCCTTGTAGGCATTTGGGTATATTAATTTTATCATTATTAGCTTTCTTC